TTACTGAAATATGTCTAAGAATTGATCATTTCAGAATAATTTTTCCAGGAACATGGTGGCTTTTTAAATATGTTGATTCAGATCTTCTTTTCTTTCTGGAAGATATTTTTGAATATTTAGTTTTAAATATTTATTCTATTCCCTTGTTTTGTTTTCCTTTTAAAAAACTCCAATCATATGAATGCTTGGATCATTTTTGCCTATCTTCTATCATTATCACTTTTTCTTTGATCATTTTGGCCTCTGTCCTTATTTCAGTTCATTCTCTTGGTTGTTTTCACTTATCTCCTCAATATCCCTCATTGTATTTTTCAGTCACATCTCTTTTACCTTGCAAATTTTAATTTAGTCTTCTTTTCTGATTGCTTTGAAATTTTTCTTAAATTTCCCTCTTGTGTTTGGTCAACTCTCATTTCATATCTTCCTGTTTTACATCCATTTATATTCTGAGTTTTTGACGTTTTGATTTGAGATGTTCTTTATATCTGTAAATTTTTCTGTGTGAATTAGGTTAATTTGGGAGTAGTGTATATTGTCTAATGAGAATTGAAAAGCACTTACTCATAAAAGGATGTATAAACTTATAAAGTCACAATAGTATTCCTCTGCCTCAGCCTTTGTAACACGTGAAACATTTTTCAGGAATGGGCGTCACTAGATGAGGCTCAGAGTCCTAGATGCGCGAATAAATAATGGTCCTTAAGAAAGAGCTGAAGGTGTAGATCCTCCTTCTTTGTCTATTTACATCCAGTCTCCAGATTACAAAAATCTTAAATTTGAGGCTCTCAAGATAGTATTGGTGATGATTGCAATGAACGTGATCCTTAAGAAGTTCAAGTTTCCTCTTTTGAAGCAGGTAAGATGACCTTGGAAAATTGTTCTTTCTACTCAAGGACAATTCAATTCCATTTCTCTCAACATGGGTATTATTAGTTTCATTTAGCTGTTGTGACAAATTACCAAAAACGTGGTGGCGTAAAATAACACAAATCTATTTTCTTAAATTCTGGGGGCCAGAAGTCTGAAATTAGTATCACTGTGTTAAATTCAGCTGCTCTTTTAGATGGTTCTTTACTGGCATAAATCAATACATCCCATAGTTGTGCATGCAGTTAACAGATCTGACATAGGCTTTTTTCTATTTCTTAACAATCAGAATACCAGAAGAAGTTTGCTTTCATTTGGCAAGGACAACAGTACATGTTAACTTTCCTTAGAGATACATCAACACTCTGCTTCACTTTCCTTAGAGACACGTTAGCCAGCAGGGACTATGATCACTTCCTCAGTCAACAGGTCTGTATTGTTTTACAACAGTGATGAAGTCATGCTGGTTGAAACTGGTGAACAGCAAGCAGATGCTCTTAGACAAATGTTTGTCAGAGCAGGGTTGATACGTATTGACAAACAGTAGGTTAAAATTTCAGGATTATTAGATTAAATATTCCTCAACTCTTTTCTTGTTGTACTTCATTTTAAAAATAGGTCTGCACAAGGGATTGTGATTCTGGAAAGCAATGTGTAAGCTTCTCATTCTCATTCTCAGGTAATTCATGGTAGACTCAGCTCGTGGACAATTGGACCTTCAAGCAAAGATAGATTTATTTTCAACTCAGGGTTTCACATGGAGTCACATTGTGGGGCTGTTTTCCATACTTCTCGTTGGACTGAGAGTACACTTCTTGGAAAGAGACTTTTATGTTAGAAGGATTGCAGGACAGAATCTCAGTACTTAAGCATCCCAGAACTGTGTGGCTGGGCACTAGTGTGCACAGATATGAAAGAAAAAAATCTCAGACGAGTTAGATTATGACGCTTGTCAAAATCCTATCTTACATTTCATAACAGGGGAATTGATTAGAAAAAACAAGTGGCTTCTCAAACATTCTTTTTTCTTTAATTTTTTTTTTTTTGAGGAAGATTAGCCCTGAGCTAACTACTGCCAGTCCTTCTCTTTTTTGCTGAGGAAACCTGGCCCTGAGCTAACATCCGTGCCCATCTTCCTCTACTTTATATGTAGGACGCCTACCACAGCATGGCTCGCCAAGCAGTGCCACGTCCGCACCCGGGATCTGAACTGGAGAACCCCGGGCTGCCAAGAAGCTGAACGTGCGAACTTAACCGCTGTGCCACCAGGCCGGCCCCTCAAATATTCTTAAAGAGGGATTCTCTCAGAATAAAGAAGAATTTTAGACTAAGTTGGCAAGCTGTTGCAGTATTTTCAGTCATAGTTGTAGCTTTTTAGTAAGTTGGCAAGTTAAATATGGATCATAATGACCTAGAGCCATTTTCCAGAAATACTGAGTGATGCAGTGCTGCCTATCTTAAATGTGGGATATTTTTCCTTCTCGGTTCTTCCTCTGGCCAAGACACTCTATGTGACTGTTGTGGGTACATGAAGATTATTCTCATGGATTTTTTTGTGCTAGGATAATTAATTGAGATTTTTGATTGATTGAGATTGTTTTGCTTTTGTTTTGATTTTTACATTTTCATAGGCTGTGGATATCAGACAAAGGCTTATTATTAACAATAATTATTAACACAATTATTAGTGCAATTATTAATAAGATATGTACAATTTGATACTATTTCTTGAAACTAATGTCCAATGTCAGGAAAGAAACGTTAGATAAATTCCAAAGAAAATCACTTTTGTGGCAGCTATTTCATGTTGTCCGTGGGCCTGTGTTTTTATACTGTATATTCTCTTCTGGTGTGGCGTGTCATACGACCAGTTAACCCATGGTCTTAGGCCCTCTCTCATACAAATTTGGTATAAAGTGAGTTCTCTGATCTGATACACTGTTGTTTAGGATCCTGTGCTGGTGGATCAAACACTCTGTAAACCCATGGATAGTGCTGCTGACTAAGGCCCTGCCGGCGGGGAAGGCAAAACCATCCCCAGAATACGTGCTCACTTCTCTGAGTACAAACTTCTGGCCATTCCAGGCTGGAAGGGCTCGACGTGGTCGATTTGCCATCAAGTGGCTGATTGGTCTCCCGAAAGAATGATTCAACACTGGAGACTCAGTGTCAGTGTCTGTGGCTGGCATGTCCATATTCAGTGTCAGCAACAGCAGCTCAGCTTTGATAAGTGGGAGTCCATATAGATGGCCCATGTGTAGCCTCCATCTCTGCCACCATGGCCTTTGTTCATATGCCCTTCATATCAGCACTAAAATGGCTAATGACAGAGACTGACTGACATCAACTGGCTGAGACATTTTGTCTACTTGGCTTCTTTATTTTTTTTCCTTTTTCTCCCTAAAGCCCCCCCCCCCCCCCCGCCAGTACATAGTTGTATATTCTTAGTTGTGGGTCCTTCTAGTTGTGGCATGTGGGACGTCACCTCAGTGTGGCTAGATGAGTGGGGCCATGTCCACGCCCAGGATTCGAACCGACGAAACATTGGGCTTCCTGCAGTGGAGCACGCAAACCTAACCACTCGGCCATGGGGCTAGCCCCTCTACTTGGCTTCTCAGTACTTCTTCAGGGATGGATACTCTCTGGTGAGCGTTAACACAAAGATCTCCACTCTTAACACTCACTGCCACACGTCTATCAACACGTCTCTACCACAGAGCTCCTTGTCCTCTACCTTTACAGTTGCTACATGTAGCAAATAAAAATACGGCACACTCAGTTGGATTGAAAAAATAGTTCTCACTGCCAAATTTTTGTAATTTGTTGAAAAAGCTAAACACAGGACATTTAGGTTATTCTGACCAAGTCAGTACAGAACATAGGACAAAAATCATTAAATACAGGACATAGCTTGTGTACTATCAAGATGCCTGACAACTCTACCTAGCTTCCAATATTTTTGCTTCTGGTACCCTGATGAGAGAGGCAGGCCATTCACCACTGCCCAAGAGTGTGCATGTATATATTCATCCTCATCTCAAGCCACTCTTCTTTCCCCACACAGTGGTGAATATGTCCACCACCTCAGGCTCTCCTCCTGGGGGGCACCTTCTTTCACCGTTACCTTTCAAAGCCACTCCCGAGTGAAAATGTAATGTGCACTATCTACTACGGTGAACCGTCATAAACTAAGCTCAGGCGTTTCCCTCTTGCTACACCTGGTTGTATAGACTTTCCACGTGGCTGTAGGCATGAGCTGACCTGAAAGGGGCTGACAGCTGGAGGCTGCGCGCTGACCGCACTCCCTGCAGCTGGGCAGCAAGTCCTTCCCTTCCCCTACCTCGTAACTTCTCCCAAATTTATTTTCTCGTATTTAAGACAAAACTGGAATGAAAACTGTGGAATAGAGATATCTGAAAAGAAAGAGGAGAAACAGGATCTAAAGGCTAACCAACTCTGTATGATTCTATTTCTCTAGAGTATGTCTTTCTGCATCTACAAGTACTTTCCTTTCATATGTACTGTATGCTTTCTTTCAAGAGAAGCACGGACAAATGAAACATTCAAAATAAGTTGCCTTACATAAAATGCTAACCACGAAAATAAATTGGGCTAGGACTCTGCAAGCAAGATAAACTGATTTGGTAAAGCAATAGAAATTTTATCCAACAATAGGTAAAGACAGACAAGAATCACCCTTTGCTCTTATCCATCCGTCTACTTGGAGGGCTGGTTTCTTCTTCTTGAGCAGGACTAAACTATGTTTTCCAGGTTCCTTTGTAGTTTTGTGTGGCTATGTGACTGAGTTCTGACCAAAGGAATATGGACAAGAGTGACATAAGTTACTTCTAGGCTTGGCCATTTCAAAACTCTCGTGAGATTCTTTGCACTCTCTTTTTTGGGGGTGACATTCTGTTTCCTTTTAAAATAAGATCTGATGGAGAGAGTTTCACATCACTGGCGATCTGGACTTTGAGTGGGGTGTATTGACTGAGTGGATTGGGGGTTGTATCTCTTGTAAAAGGGTGACTCCGTTCTATGTGCGGGATAAAGGATGTACACAAACATTTTGCATCCAGAAAGGTGGACTATAGCAGATTGGCTATTTATCAAACCAATTTCTTTTTGTTTAGGCACACAAGTACAGTTCCCAGTATCCCTTGCAACTGCTGGAGGTGGCCATGGAATTATATGTAAGTTCTAGCCAGTGGGACACAAGTGGGAGTGTTGTTTGCCTCTTCCAGGCCCAGCCATTTAAGTTCTCGCCTTGTGATTTTCTATACTCTTTCTTCTTTTATAATCAAGTCAGATGCAAAGTATTCAGTGGAGGACTGTGAGGCCTAGGGTGTGGTGGAACCACTAATTGGACCAAGGGAGCTGGATCCCTGAATGTCTCCGTGGAGCATTACATGGTGCTGTACATGAGGAATAAATGTAAAGCCACTACAATTTTGGAGATATTTGGTAAAACAGTTAATCTTTCTGTAAAACCACAGGTCTAGCTCCCTGTATTAGTTTCCTATTGCATTCTAACAAATTACTGGGTGAATTAAAACAACACAAATTTATTATCTCACAGCTCTGGAGGTCAGAAGTCCACAATATATTTCTCTGGACTGAAGTCAAGGTGTTGGCAGGCCAGTATTCCTTTGGGAGGTTCTAGGGGAGAATTCGTTTCCTTGCCTTCTCCAGCTTCGAGAGGCGGTGTGCCTTCCTCGGTTCCTACCACACTCTGACCTCTGCTTCTGCCATCACCTCTCCTTCTCTCACTCTGACCCTCCTGCCTCCCTCTTTCACTTATAAGGGCCCCTGTGATTACACTGGGCCCACCTGGATAATCCAGGATAATCTCCCCATCTCAGGATCCTTAAATTAATCACATCTGCAAAGTCCCTTTTGCCACATAAGGTCACACGTTCACAGGTTCCGGGCGTTAGGACAAGGACCTCTTTGGGAGTTATTATTCTACCTACCACACTCCACTGCCTTCACCTCTTTGCTCAATGTCCTTCTCAGTGAGGTCTTCACTGGCCAGTCTTTATAAGATTCTGTCACATCCTCCTTGCCTTTCTTACCCCTTTTCCCTGATCTTTTTTTCTTAGTCCTCATCGCTATCTCAGGTATGCCAAATTTTTCTTGTTTGTCTTTTCTCTTCAACTAGAATATAAGTTCCATGAAGGAAGACATTTTTGTCTGCTTTTTCAGTGCAGTATTCTTAGTGCCTAGAAGAATGGCTGACATTTGAACAGATGTCCAAGTAGTTGTTGAATAAGTGATTTTTTTTCCCTTGGGTGAGGAAGATTGTCCCTGAGCTAACATCCGTGCCCATCTTCCTCTATTTTGTATGTGGGACACTGCCACAGCATGGCTTCGTTAGCAGTGCGTAGGTCTGCACCCAGGATCTGAACCTGCAAACCCTGGGCTGCTGAAGCAGAGTGCACAAATTTAACCACTACGCGACTGGGCTGGCCCCTATTATTTTTAATCATGGTAAAATACATATAAAATTTACCATCTTAATCTTCTTAACTGTTTAGTTTAGTGGTATTACGTACATTCACATTGTTGTACAATTATCACCAATGTCCATTTCCAGAACTCTTTTCATCCTCCCAAACAGTAATTCTGTACCCATTGAACAATAACTCCCCATTCCCTCCTTCCCCCAGCTCCTGGCAACCATCATTCTACTTTTTGTCTCTGTGAATTTGACTACCCTAGGTACCTCATACAGGGGCAATCATACAATATTTGAAGGACTAAGTTTTTAATACCAGCCAACCAAACCCAAGGCCATTCTTTTGGGTCTCCTTGATCACCCACATAGCTGCTGATCAGGAGTAAACCTCACTGTATGGAAATTCTCTGATGTCAGGAGCTAGGTATCACTTTTTTTAAATAAAAGTCACCATTCCTTTTATGAGAGCAAATTTTGAGAGACTAACCTAGCATTAGACTGAGACTTTAGAATGGAGAAAGTTGTAGGAGAAAATAAGCAGAGACAGTTTGGGTCGAGTTGGGGATCAATGATTTGTGTTGAATGTTTGGCAGGTAAGCCCATATGCATTAAAATAAAGAGAAAGTTTATCTTTTTTTTTTTGCTATACCAATTTTTTTTATTGAGTTATTGATAGGTTACAATCTTGTGAAATTTCAATTGTACATTAATGTTTGTCAGTCATGTTGTAGGTGTACCACTTCACCCTTTGTGCCCACCCCCTACCCCACCTTTCCCCTGGTATCCACTAAACTGCTCTTAGTCCATAATTTTAAATTCCTCATATGAGTGGAGTCATACACAGATTATCTTTCTCTCGCTGGCTTATTTCACTTAACATAATTCTCTCAAGGTCCATCCATGTTATTGCAAATGGAATGATTTTGTTCTGTTTTGCAGCTGAGTAGTATTCCATTGTATATATGTACCACATCTTCTTTATCCATTCGTCTGTTGCTGGACACTTAGGTTGCTTCCACGTCTTGGCTATTGTAAACAGTGCTGCAATAAACATTGGGGTGCACAGGACTTTTGGGATTGCTGACTTCAAGCTCTTTGGATAAATACCCAGTAGTGGGATGGCTGGATGGTATGGTAGTGCTATTTTTAGTTTTTTGAGGAATCTCCATACTGTTTTCCATAGTGGCTGCACCAGTTTGCATTCCCACCAGCAGTGTATGAGGGTTCCTTTTTCTCCGCAACCTCTCCCACATTTGTTGCTATTAGTTTTAGATATTTTTTGTCATTCTAACGGGTGTAAGGTGATATCTTAGTGTAGTTTTGATTTGCATTTCCCTGATGATCAGCAGTGATGAGCATCTTTTCATGTGCCTATTGGCCATCCGTATATCTTCTTTGGAGAAATGTCTGTTCATGTCTCCAGCCCGTTTTTTTTTTGTTTTTTGTTTTTTTTTAAAGATTTTATTTTGCTCCTTTTTCTCCCCAAAGCCCCCCGGTACATAGTTGTATATTTCATTGTGGGTCCTTCTAGTTGTGGCATGTGGGACGCTGCCTCAGCGTGGTCTGATGAGCAGTGCCATGTCCACGCCCAGGATTCGAACCAACGAAACACTGGGCCGCCTGCAGTGGAGCGCGCGAACTTAACCACTCGGCCATGGGGCCAGCCCCTCCAGCCCGTTTTTTGATTGGGTTGTTTGATGTTTTGTTGTTGAGTTGTGAGAGTTCTTTATATATTATGGATATTAAGCCTTTGTCAGATATATGACTTGCAAATATTTTTTCCCAGTTAGTGGGTTGTTTTTTTGTTTCAATCCTGTTTTCATATGCCTTGAAGAAGCTTTTTAATCTGATGAAGTCTCATTTGTTTATTCTTTCTATTGTTTCCCTTCTCTGAGAAGGCATGGTGTCCGAAAAGATCCTTTTAATACTGATGTCAAAGAGTGTACTGCCTACGTTTTCTTCCAGAAGCCTTATGGTTTCAGGTCTCACCTTTAGGTCTTTAATCCATTTTGAGTTTATTTTGGTGAATGGTGAAAAAGAGTGGTCAATTTTCATTCTTTTACATGCGGCTTTCCAGTTTTCCGAGCACCATTTGTTGAAAAGACTTTTTTTTCTCCATTGTATGCCCTCAGCTCCTTTGTCAAAGATAAGCTGTCCATAGATGTGAGGTTTTATTTCTGGGCTTTCAATTCTGTTCCATTGATCTGTGCACCTGTTTTTGTACCAGTACCATGCTGTTTTGATTACTGTAGCTTTGTAGTATGTTTTAAAGTCAGGGATTGTGATGCCTCCTGTTTTGTTCTTTTTTTTTATTTTTTTTAAATTTTTTTTATTTTTTCCTTTTTCTCCCCAACGCCCCCCGGTACATAGTTGTGTATTCTTCGTTGTGGGTTCTTCTAGTTGTGGCATGTGGGACGCTGCCTCAGCGTGGTCTGATGAGCAGTGCCATGTCCGCGCCCAGGATTCGAACTAACGAAACACTGGGCCACCAGCAGCGGAGCGCGCGAACTTAACCACTCGGCCACGGGGCCAGCCCCTCGTTTTGTTCTTTTTTCTCAGGATTGCTTTAGAAATTTGGGGTCTTTTGTTGCCCCGTATGAATTTTAGGATTCTTTGTTCTAATTCTGTAAAGAATGTCATTGGGATTCTGATTGGGATGGCGTTGAATCTGTAGATTGCTTTAGGTAGAACGGACATTTTAACTATGTTTATTCTTCTAATCCATGTACATGGAATGTCTTTCCATCTCCTTATGTCGTCATCCAATTCTCTCAGAAAGGCCTTGTAATTTTCATTATATAGGTCCTTCACTTCCTTAGTTAAATTTACCCCAAGGTATTTTATTCTTTTTGTTGCGATTGTGAATGGTATTGTATTCTTGAGTTCTTTTTCTGTTGGTTCATTACTGGAGTATAGAAATGCTACTGATTTATGCAAATTGATTTTATACCCTGCAACTTTGCTGTAGTTGTTGATTACTTCTAAAAGTTTTCCAATGGATTCTTTGGGGTTTTCTATGTATAAGATCATGTCGTCTGCAAACAGTGAGAGTTTCACTTCTTCCCTCCCTATTTGGATTCCTTTTATTCCTTTTTCTTGCCTGATTCCTCTGGCCAGGACCTCCAGCACTATGTTAAATAAGAGTGGTGATAGAGGGCATCCTTGTCTCGTTCCTGTTTTCAGGGGGATGGGGTTCAGTTTTTGCCCATTGAGTATGATGTTGGCTATGGCTTTGTTTGTCGTATATGGCCTTTATTATGTTGAGGTAGTTTCCTTCTATGCCCATTTTGTTCAGAGTTTTTATCATAAATGGCTGTTGGATCTTGTCAAATGCCTTCTCTGCATCTATTGAGATGATCATGTGGTTTTTATTCCTCAGTTTGTTGATGTGGTGTATCACGTTGATTGATTTGCAGATGTTGAACCATTCCTGTGTCCCTGGTATGAATCCCACCTGATCCTGATGTATGATTCTTTTGATGAATTGCTGAATTCTGGTTGCCAAAATTTTGTTTAGAATTTTTGTATTTATGTTCATCAGTGATATTGGCCTATACTTCTCTTTTTTCGTGGTGTCCTTGTCAGGTTTTGGTATCAGCGTGATGTTGGCCTCATAGAATGTGTTAGGAATTGTTCCATCTTCCCTAATTTTTTGGAATAGCTTGAAAAGGATAGGTATTAAATCCTCTCTGAAAGTTTGGTAGAATTCCCCAGGAAAGCCATCTGGTCCTGGGG